TGGCCAGCCATGTGGTTGGCTATGTGTTTTGGTTATGTGTTTAAAACTGTGTGATTTAAATTTTTTTACCGTGAATGTAGCAGCGCTACACAAAGCAATACAGAGAGGCGTTTGTGAATTGTAACCCTCAAAACTCAGTAATTCATTCAATTATATTTCATGAAGTAAAAAAGGAAAAAAAATCCCCTCAGAATTCAAAGTCTGAATTTAAGAGGGGATACCGACGTGATTTATTATATTTTCCGCTTATTGTGTTCGAAGCCCTAGGTGTAATTTTGCGGTTTGGGGTGGATTATTTCCAATGATTACGTTGTAAAAGTATTTCGCTTTGGTGTTTTTAAAAATCACGGCCCGGCACTGTGGCTCACGCGGGGGCGTATTAATCCTAGGCACTTTGGCGGAGGGCCTGAGGCGGGCAGATCACGATCAGGAGGCGATCGAGATATTCTGGCGGAACACGGTCTGGGTGGAAGACGCCCTTCCTCTCTAAGAATACAAAAAAGTGCCACCTGTATCCGCAGATTTACTCAGGAGGGAGAGGGCAGGAGAATCGCGTTGAATCCAGAGAGAGGTAGAAGGGAGGGTTTGCAGTGAGTGAGGATTGCACTCGCGCTGGGCCATAGACTTAGACTTTGTTTTGTTTTTTTAAGAGCGGTTTTAGGTGGCTTTATAGTCAAATGGGGCAGAAAAGTACTGAGCCTTCCCATTTTCTTCCCTACCCCTACACACAACACTCCAGTTAATTAGTACATTAATTACCACCCATGCTGTACATTAGATCCACAGAACTTGTTCATCTTATAACTGAAAGTTTGTACCAGTTGACCAACATCTCTCTGTTTCCCCAACCCCAACAACATTTTTTTGTTTTTGGCAAAGGGGTGGGGTGTGTGGGGGAACCCCTACATCATTTTATATGATTATATGATATTCTACTCTTGAAGGTCTACTATAGCTTATTTAGAAGTAGTAATGATATTTTCTAAATTCTAGTTATTATAAAAATACTATGAATATATACAGTATTATTAAAATACTATAGTAGGTGTTACTCGTAGATGAATATTTGTGCATATATATGATTTATTCTTTGAATATCAAATATCAGAGAATTCTAGAAGAAACATACCGGTTAAGGGATGCAGAATATATTTATTGAAAACGCAGATCCCTAACTTTCCTGTTTTGCTGAAGACTCCTGGAGCCGTACCTTCAGATATCCCATCACACTGCTCCAGCATGTCTACCTTGGTGGTCATGTTACTGTGTTTGAAATGCTTGGTTCCTTGGTTGCTGTAAAGAAATAGCACTTGAACATAAATTAATTTACTCAGCAAGGCATTTTTACTTCCTGCAGAAAAGGGTACACTTGCCAGCAGTTTTGCCACGAGAGTAACAGCAAACAAAAGGAGACAGGATCATTTATAACTTAACGTGTCCCGCCTACTGCTGTGTCCAGTCTCATTGGCTGGAACGGACCTCACATTCTGTATTTGCTCCGATGGCTAGCAACTTAAACTTTTTAAAAAGAGGCAAAAGGGCAGAGGAGAACAAAGGAAAGGAGGAAGTAACTTGGGAATGACCAAGAAACCCCCATGTAAAAATATACACTTCAAATAAGAAGGGATACAGGTTATGGACCCTAATGCTTGCTGGACCTAGTATAAGCATGCCCAGGGGGCAAATAACTTAGGCGTAAATAGTGGGAACTATAGATAACATAAAGATGACATTGATTTTCTTACCATGGCTAGCAAGATATTTAAGAATGTTAGCGTACGGTCTTTGAATATACATTTGCCTT